TCCTGCCTCTTTAACCCCCACACTTCATATCAGAAATCATTCGCTTCGGGACAGGTATTTAGTGATTAATCTTGTACCTAATACAGGTACTTCCCAATGGGCATTTGAATTCCAAAATTCATTTGTCGCCCTCTCTGTCTTATTTTATTCTTTTTCTTCCTATACCGACTCACCAAAAATGTTTGAGGCAGCTATGTTTATTTGTAAATCACTAATATGGCCTTTAGACAATGTTTTCATATACAAATAGAGATATATGTGTGTAGAACAGGAGGGGTTCAGTTGAAGAGCCATTTGTTGAACATCCAGAATGTGCTAAAGCCTGATTTTGACGAGACTCACAGCAGTGAGTGAATGCATGAAGTGTAGTAGGAGCGCACAGTAAGGCTAGTGAGCCATAAGGTTTTGCTGGGACGTAGGAACCCAGGTGTATGCGTGCCCGACACATGTCACCCAGGTAGAGCTGCCTGCACCCCAACCCTCCCTTCTCCACCTCTAAAACGCTGACTTGGGCCAAAGCTAAGGGACAGGCAGAAGGTTGGACCTGCTACCTATTTTGCACGTGTCCTTGTCAACACCTCCAGGTGAGTGGGTCTGTTGCCCCTGACGACCACTGAGAGCCCCTGGGGACTGTGCCTTGAAATGCACTCGAGGAGAGTGTTTGTGCCCTCTCTGCTGGAGTCTCTTCTTTCTATCATGGATTTACCAGGAGACTAAGTCCTTTCCTGCTCTGCCTGGGGCTGATGGCATCACAAACCAGCCCCAGTGCTTTTTAATGACTACTCTGTCAGTAGCTCCAATTAAGTTATTTCAACTCTAAGTCCCCTTCTATTAGAAAGTGTGATGGTGGCGAGAGTCATTGCCAGCCTCCCACTACACAGGAATTCTGTTGGGTACAATTAGAAGAGAAAATGATTTCTCCTTGATTAAGAAGCTCCTCAGCACCTGCAGGCCATGTGGGGCAGAGATGGAACTGGGGCGTGGCTTGTCACTTTACAAGGCTCCAGGTGGACTGTGCTCTGGGCCTCCTCGGCCTGGGAGCTTATTCGTCTTCTGAAAGTTTGTAAATTGGATGCTAGGACTTTTGAGAATTACAGCAGAATTCCTGCCAATGGTATAAGATGTATAACATAGTACAAGGGAGTTTGGCTGGTTTTCAAAGTGGAAAGTGGTTTCTAAAAATGTCAGAATGAGAAGTGGGCTCTCCCTGTACGACATGCTACGGAAGGGGATCAAGAAAATGATAGAGAGTGGGCCCGTAACCTGGTGAATTAAGCGTTTGGGGGAAACAACGGAACCAACTACAGAACACAAAGCAGAAAAGGAAATGGCCCAGCCGATTGCAGGGGTTCATTATGATGTGGTCACCAAATCAGATTGTCAGAAGAGTTTTGAATGTTGCCTGAGAATTGGTTTTTTTTTCCCAAGGATTTCTATGAGATGAAAAGTAGCTATTTAAAGCTATGTAGGTAGGCTTATTCAAACAATGTCCCAAAGAATATTTGGTTCCAGGAATCACATCTGAAATTAGAGTTAAGACCATTAGTGTGTGTGCCATTATGCAATTTGTAAAACATTTTAAGCTGGTGAGAAGATTATTTCCAAATCAATTGACTTTGTCTTTCTTGTCATTCTGTTATACTTCCTGCTTCACCCTCTGCATTTCCAGTGCAATTAGGACCTCACCAGAAGGCAAATGGAGCACCTGCCTCAAATTGGTTTAAAAATGTTGATATTTTATTGCTGAAATAACTCAGATAAGACACAGCAGAAAAATAGCAAGAAATATTTGGCACATGCACATAGACTTCCATCCCCAATATGAGACTCTGATATTTGTTCATCATTTAGAAGATTTCCCCTCGTATCCCTGTACTGACCTGGCCTTGTTTTGTCACTGGCTCCTTTTGTCAGTTGCCATAATAGAAGCATCTGAGAAAGACCCACAAACCTTCTTTTTTTCTTTTAAATCCACATACTTCACATTATAAACCTTACCATTTAAACAAAATTTCATATTATAAAAATTATGTATGTGTCACCTAGTGTGGCGTCAAGTATCTTAACATCTCAAGGGATGTTCAAGCTCCAAGTTGCATAAAATTCAGCTACTTGATGTTCAGGTCTGTGCAGTGCCTGTACGATTCTCTAAATGGTGAACGTGCCAAAGTGAAGGTGAGATACCTGACGTGTGCCCCTTGGGTGTGTGGACTTCTCGAAGGAAGCCATGTCCTCAGTTCTTTTGGTTTCTGAACAAAAGATGACGGCCAGAATGGTGGCTAGTACTTTCCTTTTTCTAACAGAGGAGGACAACGGGGGGGGGGGGGGGGGAGGATATTATTTTAAAGAATATCCCCAGAGCTGGGGAACTGGGAAGATGGAGCCCTCAGAGAGCAGAGTGTTCGCTCCTCCGCTGAGGGAGTCCTGGTTTGCAGAGGCTGTGTCTCCTTTCCCCTCTGCACATTGTGGCTCAGGGGATGGACCCAATCTTGGCTCATAGCTGTGGAGTCAGCTCGCGGGGGTGCTGACATCTTCCTTCCCCATGCTCCTTTCCATGTGTCTGTCTCCTGTGGCACCTGGTGCATGACATGAGCTTTAAATCCTGTGCAGAGTTCTTGTGCCTCTGGGGTCTTTGACATCTGGTTCTGTGGAGTGTCTGGGCCAGGCTGCGCTCCCTCTTCCTACAGAGCCTGGCAGACACTGTGACATGGGGCCAGGCCTCTGCCCTCCAGCTTGGCTGTGGGTTCATGACATCTGCCGTCAGTTCTGCCAGGAGATGAAGGCGGGTCATATGTCGCTCTGTGAGCCTTCTCTGACTCTTCTGAATTTTTTATCAGGCCACAGAGAAATGCAGTCACCTCCCACCACCTGGGCCCGTGCGGCCACTCAGACTAGGACATCCGCTCAGGGAGAGCGCACCTCCTAAATCAACGAGACATTTACTGTGGTAAACAGCTCCCTCTTGTCAGTTGCCATAATAGAAACATCTGGGAAATATGCTCTTAACAGTTATGGGAAAAAGGAAGTATCGATGCCGCCAGCTCCCAATTATCTAAGGGCCACTTCCCCAGCTTGCAAGTTCCCTTGCTTTGTAGTTCCATCTCTCCTTGTGCTACTGTGTTCGGGATGAACATTGCAAGGAAAGAATGCACACATTTATTTATTTTGCTCCTGTTAAAAAAGAAAAAGTCTCATCAGAAGTGTGGAGGAATTGGGGCTAAAATCTAAAATTAGATTTGGGATTACCTGCGGATTGTGTTTTTCGCCATCATAGCTAGAAAGACTCCACAATAGCTTGTGTACTTCCCTGTTCTTGCTCAGGAAGATTTATCTTCCCCAGAATGAAAGAGGATTTTGCTGTTAGTTTTTCTGCACAGGGAGTTTTCCTACAGACTGTAGAAGAAACTCTGACCTTAACAATCAGCACATTCTGGCAGAAAGAGCCAGGGCAAGGGTGAGGCTGACTGGCCCGTAGCTGCTGTGTAATGTCGGAAAATAAACTTGTCTGAGGCTCTCTTTTCACTCTGTCTGGTGCAGATAAGTGTAATTGTGAGAGTTGCAGACAGGATTACAGTAGAAAATGTTCATGAGTCACTAGGATAAGACACCGACCATGGCAGGCACTTCATTTGGGTTGAGTTTCTCTGAGAGGAAGGTGGTGTGTTTTCCTGCTGGATGCTGTGGGCAAGCCATTGACCTCTCAGTCCTTTCTGTGCCCTCACCTATAACTTGGGGACAATGATGGTAAAGATAATTTAGCTCTTCCCCTCAACTTCAGCGGGGATAAGTGAGGCAACGCATCCAAACCCAGACAACACACAGTTCAGCCTATGAGTGCCTTGTAAGCGACAGTTATTTTTGGTTTCTCTACCCTCTTAATTTTTGGGAAAGTCTATGCTAGAGACACCTCAAGCAGATGTATTTGGGTAAAAAGGAGATTTTGTTTGTGAAGAACATTTGCTGTCTTTTCTTGTATCTATTTACTCTTTGCACAGATATGTACGGTAGGCACTGCTGGGTGCCAGACACCAGGTGGGTGTGCAATGCTGGACTGTTGCCCCAGGAACAGGAATAGAAAGTGTGGGAATAGTACAAAATAAGCCCAGTTCCTGGGATGGATGACTCCTGATGAATAGTAGGTTAGAACCAAGGAAGTGAGGTGGAATAGCATCTTTCCTGTTTCACCAGTGAGAAAATGAAATGCCCATACTGGCAGATAACCCATCCAGAACCTTAGAGAATGGACTAAGAGCAGGCCTAATGCAGAATTCCCAAAGACCGGATTTTAGGTCTGACCTCGACTGGATTGTAAGCCGCATAGAGGCAGAGGGAGGGGCTTCCCATTGGTGTCCCCACAGCACCTAGAAAGGCCCTACAGGGGGGCAGAGATGCCTCCTTGAATGGAATTGATTTGAGGGGAAGCCACACCCCAGGCCCCAAACAGAAGGTACCATTCTCCGACTCAGTTTGGTCTGAACTATAGTGCTTAGCACAACACTGATGTAAAATAGTCACCTATTAAGTATCTGTCGAATGATGTATTGGTTTATTGAGTTTGATTGATAATCTCTAGTTACACCCATGCGCATTCGTGCACGTGCCCTCATTTTTTTCTTGTTAGAAAAACCAACAAATAAAACAGATCGTATACAGGGTCCAGCACAAATAACGCCTCTTTTTTATTACAAAATCTTTTATTACACAGTCATAAGCATGTAATTCTGTAATATAACAATATCACACCCAAGCACATTTTATGACATTTTAGGTTAAGTGTTCAAATTACTGTCTATCTCGTGCGAAACACTCACAGACCCTTACCAACCACACTCAAGCAGGCCTTACTTCTGATGGACCCTGTATCTCTACTCAATTTTTGGAGTCACAGATAGGTCAGCCCAAGTAGCAGACTGAGAAAGAAAAAAAGCAAACCTAAAAAATGCCTTATGTATCGGACGTTTAAATTGTCAGGCTTGTGTCTGTCCTTTGTCATTCCACAGCTCCCGAGGTCCTCGCCCAGAAACCTTACAGCAAAGCTGTTGACTGCTGGTCCATCGGGGTGATTGCCTATATCTTGTAAGTATTGCTTGCCACCTTGGCTTCTTTTGTCCCTTTTTTTAATATTGTGGCAAAATAGACATAACACAATATTTACTATTTTAACCACTTTAAAGAACATAGCTCAGTAGTATTAAGCACATTCACATTGTTGGGCAACCATCACCACCATCTACCTCCAGAACTTTTTCATCTTCCCAAAGGGGAACTCGGACCCCCATTGAACACTCCGTCGCCATATCCCTTCCTCCCACCCCCAGCGGCCACCATTCTACTTTCTTTATGTATTTGACTACTGTAGGTTCCTCACGTAAGAGGAATCACACAGTATTTCTCCTTCCGTGACTAGCTTATTTCACTTAGCACAATGTCCTTAAGGCTTATTCATGTTGTAGCCTGTGTCAGTTTTAGTTTATTTTTTGAGGCCGAATAATATTCCATTTTGTATATATACCACATCTTATTTATCCATTTATCCATCACTGGACACTTGGTTTCTACTTTTGGCTCTTGCGAATGATGTCGCTGTGAACACGAATGCCTGTGTGAGTCCTGCTGTCAGTGCCTTTGGCTGGGTACCCAGAGGTGGGGCTGCTGGGTCAGATGGTGATTCTCTGGTTAACTTTTTGAGGAACCTCCATGCTGTTTCCCACAGCAGCTGCACCATTTTACATTCCCAACAGCAATGCACAAGGGTTCTAATTTCTCCACATCCTTGTCAGCACTTGTTATTTTCCATTTTCTGATAATAGCCATCCTCAGAGGTGTGAAGTGTTATCTCACTGTGGGTTTGTTTGCATTTCTGTTATGGTTAATGATGCTGAGCATCTTTTCATGTGCCACAATGAGGAAAAAAATTGTGATGAAAACCAAAATTTAACCTTTGGGTTTCTCATTTCTGCTCAGATGACTAATCTCCACTATCCAGGAAATGCAGTCCTAGGTCAATAGGCTTGTTGCGGTTATTTTTTCAGGATGATCAATTTTGGTTTTTATTGTTATACTTTATCTTGCTTAAGTCCACTGTAAAGTTATTTTTAAGTTACAATTTTCTTCTCCAACACTTATTATCAAACATACTTTTAGGGTGGATTTATGTTAACTGGTTTCTGTAGTTGATAGGAAATCAATTTTTCCTCCTCATTGTCCCCAAGAAAGAGAACGTCCCTAGCAGACAGAACCCACACAGCGAGACTGTGATCAGTAGGGTACTGTGATTGGAGAAAGGTCTGACTATATGTGGCATCCACAGGGAATGCTGGGAACACCCCCCCCACACACACACACACATACATACTTCCCCCTTATGTCTCATTACCTGGGGAGAAAATGATCTTTTTATGGCATTCATTAAACTGGGCAGCTTTTGTAGATGGCTAAGATAAAAGAATAGGGGGTAGTGGAAGAACAGGTTTGGGGAGGTAGATAAGATCAAGAATTTCATTTTGAGCATGTTAAACTTGAGACCCCTTTGGGATATCCATGGACTGGTGTATGCACACACAGAGGTCAGAGGTCTAAGGTAAAGATACTGGCATATGGATGTGGGTATGATTTGAACAGTACTACATCCAAATCCTTATAATTACGGTGTAAAATGCAATATTTGACTGGATTTGATTTTAGTATTAAGCAAAGAAACAGAATGTATTTTTAAATTTCTATTTTAAGTATAAACTTGCTAGTTACCTGGTCATTACTAGCTTCGCTCCGGGACTTAGTCTCAGTTGATTTCATGACTGTGTCAGCCTTCAAAATGGCAGCCTGGCCTTCTCTTTTCCTTGGGTCCTTCTGGAACTTCGAGAGTCTTGTGCAGAGAAGGGACTTTGGACATCTCAGTCATACCTTCCAAGATGTTCAGATCCTTGAATGATGGGCCATATGCTAGACATAGTTTGCTACATAATGTGGCTATGCTTGGAGGACCACTAGCCTTGCATTTATCATTATCAGTGTCAGCAACTAGCATTTCTTGAATATCTTCCCTATTCCAGGCACTGTGCTAAGTGCTAAAGATATCAAGATGACAAAGACATGATGTCTCTCATCAGAGTACTAACAAGGTACATGGGGCAGGGGACAAGAATTGTAGTGACATGCAGGGAGACTTGTGTACCGGTGCCAAAGTTCCTGGGATGAAGCACCACTGAGGACAGTCATTCAGGAAGGAAGAGGCACCATTCTTGGTATGTCTAGAAGGGGAGGGAAGAGAGCTCTCTGACCAGGGAAGAGATGCAGGCACTGGAACAGGGTGCCTGAGGCATGTTCAAGGACTGATGTCAGTACCCTGTTAAAGGCTGATGGCCTGGGTTGGTGTTCCTGGCACAAACCTGGCTCGGGGTTGAACAGGTGTTAGAAGTTAGAACTTGTGGATGTCAGTCTCAGACTCCTGCTACTCCCCGCAGACCCACTGTGCCTGGTCCCCCATTCCCATCCTTCATCGGATGATGATGGGCAAGGCTGCCGAGGAGGCCGGGACCAGCACTCAGCCCCCAGGGGGAGCCAGGCATCCCAGCAGGACCCATGCAGGCCTCCTCATTCTTCGTATCACCTGCCATGGAAGGAGGTTAGCCTCTGCAGGTTACTTGGAGTGCATTTTCATTTGACAGACCTGTCCCACTGAGGTATTAGATTGCAGCAAAGGTGCTGTGACCGGTCGCGGCACCCCATTTTCTCCTCTCTGCATGCCATGAAAACATTCTTCCTTTTGCCGGTGCAGCTACTTGATAAATTGGTTCTTTGATGATCTCCATTTCTATGTTATCCATCATTTGGAAGAAGGAATATTTTTTTCCTGTCAGGGATACTCATTTTTTAAAGCACACTTGATGGGTCCTTATCCTGCCAGGATCTCCCTTTGGGGGTCAGGACTTACAAAAACATCTTTGCCTGCAGAGCTGAAGCTACTGGGAAGGACTGAACATGGAGTCTTCTAGACACCCCGATGAACACGTCAGTGTCCAGCCTAATGGGGGGGGGGGGGTTGACCAAGACAGCAAGTTCCAAGGAAATAAATTTCTCCACCCAAAATGCAATTGGCATTTCATTGGCCCAACTGGATTTTGGGATTGCATGTTGGCGGCATTTCTTCTCACAACTTCAAGAGATAATTTAACAATCACTTGCCTAAGTTATGCTCAGGAATACAACATGCTATGGAGAAGGGCGGTGAACTTTTACTGATGCGAAAACTGAGGAAGGCCTTAAGGAGGGCAGGTATTAGAAGGTTAGGGCAGGCGGGATGGTCAGAGTGTCCATGCCATGACACCGAAGGCACTTACCCATGCTGTGACCGCTGACCTTTTTGCCTAGAAGAAACTTCAGGCAAAATATTATGATAATCCCCTTATTTTTTGACTGACCTCTTATGTTCAATTTTTTGTAAATATTTATTTAAGAGAGGGGAAGGGAGGGAGAAAGAGAGGGAGAGAAACATTGATGCAGGAGAGAAACATCGATGGAAGAGAGAAACATTTATTGATTGCCTCTCATACACACCCTGACCTGGGACTGAACCCGCAACCTAGGCATGTGCCCTGACTGGGACTCGATCCTAGGATCCTTTGCCCTGTGGGACAGTGCCCAACCAACTGAGCTATACCCGTCAGGGCTATATTGTTCACTTTTTAAAACTAGGCCACATAAATGTTGACTGACTGGCCAGTATACACAGAATAATTACTTTTGCTAAGAGTGAAACTAAGAATGCCTGAACTTCGTGCTATGCCCATTTTCTAAGTCAAAGGGTGATCTTCATCAAGGTAGTCACCGTTGCTCTCCCACACTGACAGCTGCCTCTTTTATAGAGACATATGTCCCGGGAGAAGAACATGAACCCAGCTTCAGTAGGAGAGAATGTGGTGTAATTACTGAGCCCAGGGAAGTAAGCAAACCTCAGATGTTATAATAGTCGTTACCACTATCGATATGAGGAGTGTTAACACTAATACGAATAATTAACTGGTATTGCCAGCAGGCAGTAATCACCTTGTTATATTCATAGCTTTGCGAAGTGGGGCACATTGCCTCATTCAAACAACCATGGGCCTGTGGTCTGGACTTTGGCTTTAGAAGTTTAGAAACTAAATTACATGTTTATTCATCTTGCTCAGTCACTCCCAGTGAATTGATTCATACTAGCCAGACTCAACAGAGGTTTGAAAAAAACAACTGGAGTGTCAATTCACTAAATCGAAATAAGATTTGTGTCCTGCAAGGTAATTGGAGATGCATGTCATCGCCCTAGCATGTTCTCTGCCTGATAGAAAATGCTCCGTGAGAAAGCAAATTAAAACCAGAAGCCTCCTTTAAGCACAAGGAACCAGAGCAGGGGAGTCGGGTGGCCTTAGCTGTTTTCGTGAAGCCTGTAGTGGTCTCCTCGTCACCCTCTCACCGAAAGGTACTGCTGTTAAGCGGCCCAGCTGTTCCTCTTGGCTGGTCAGAGTGGCCACATGCTGATCAGCTCTTACACCTCCCTCTCCTTTCTCCTGCCTTAGAGACTGGCCAGCACCCTGCTCCTTTCTTATTCTCACTTCATCGTTTTTATTTCAGCAGGCATTGATTGATGGATTGTTATCATTCTGGGTTTACAGATTTTATCTCACTGACTGCATTTTAGTGTGGCTGCTTTCCAAAGGCGTTCAGAAAGGTGCCTCATCTTCCCTCCATCCTCTGTACTGAGTGGACCCTGTTGGTGGCTAATGCCTTTTCTTAGCTTTAGTCTCAGACACAAGGGTTGCTTGACCAGATTTCAGCTTCGTTCGTGGGCCTGTGATCCTCTCTCCCCTGCTTCGAGAGAAAGACTTTATTAGGTGTCTGTTCACAGCGGGTTCCCCTCTAACCCCTTGGAAAACAGTCAAACATAAAACACCTTTGGTTTCAAAAAGAGGGTGCAGAGGTATGCACAGTGGTGACGGAGGGAATTTTACAAGCGTGCAATTGAGATTAAAAAAAGTCTGAGTTTTAGATGATAGTAGGAGCAACTTCCTGCCAGTCACTTCAGAGAAGGTGGACTCCAC